ACACTCTAAAGAGAAAGGAAAAAATGAAATCGCATCATATGACCCCTTTAATAAAAAAATCTTGCATATTGTGCCTTTAACAGAACACAGCATTTAGACTAAAGATCCTGATTACAAGAAGCCATATTAGTATTGATTATAAATGAGAATTGTTAACGATATTGCTAAAATCCACACTGCTGACAGCTTTACCTGTTGTAGTTTGTTCAAGTTGTGCATGAAATAGACCCTGCCTTTCTGCACTTTTACTTCGCACGTCTCCATCATTTTCTCTCTCTCTCATGCTGCCACAGCTGGAGCTGCTTTCAGCAGGTGTGCCGTCAGCGCTGGTGTTCAGCAGACATGAGGATTGTTTTTCCTCTAAAACTTTGATGCGCATCGTCTCAGTTTATTACGTCAACATAACAAATGATGTGATAGCAAAACAAGCAGGAAAAAAGGCATTACATGCAAGGTTTTAAATCATAACATGTACATTTATATAGTCGCTCGCCAGTGGCGATCTCAGCAAAAACTTAACGCAAATTAATATTTTTGGTCGCAAATGCGACCATTTTAGGCGAAGTCTGGAGCCCTAGAACACCATAATAATCACAGAACAACATCCTAGTAACACCCCATAAACCACCAAGAACACCCTAATTACCACAGAGCAACCACTTAGAAACACCTTAAAAAACCTAGTAACACCCTAGAAACCACCCAAAACACCTCAATTACCACAGAACAATCACTTAGAAACACACTAAAAACCTAGCAACACCCTAACAACCACATAGAAACACCTTAAAAGCCTTGAAACACCCTAAAAACTACACAGAACACCATAATCACAGAACAACATCCTAGCAATACCCCTTAAAACACCAAGAACACCCTAATTACCACAAAGCAAAGAAACACCATAAAAACCTAGCAACGCCCTAGAAACCATTCAGAACACCCTTAATTACCACAGAACAACACTCTAGCAACCACTTAGAACACTGTAGAAACCTAGCAACATCCTTGAAACCACCCAGTACACCCTTAATTGCCACAGAGCAACACCCTAACAAACATTTAGAACACCTAAAAACCTAGCAACACCCTAGTAACCACACTGAACACCCAAGATTACCACATAGCAACGCCCTAGTAACAACATAAAACACCCGGATTACCACGGAGCCCGAGCAACCATGTAGAACACCTTACAAACCTACTAATGCCCAAGCAACCACTCAGAACACCCTAATAACCAAAGAACAACATCTTAGCAACAACCAAGAAACCACAAGAATACCCTAATTACCACAGAACTGAGCTATGCCTAGCAACCACTTAGAACACCTTAAAAACCTAGCAATGCCCTAGAAACCACACAGAATACCCTAATTACAACTGAGCAACGCCCTAGAACACACCCAAAACATCCTAGCACTGTGGCGGCAGTCTTTGGAGGTGTATGTACCTTGCACCAGATGTTCGTGGTATATGGAGGCCAGATTAGGCAGGTGTTGCTGCAGGTGCGAGCTGAGCTCTGCGTGTGAGTTGATCTGGACCAGCTCCTCCTCACAGCCAGACTCCTCTCCATCAAAATCCGCCATGTTCTTCTCGGATTTGGCGCTGACTTGAGAACTGCTGCAGCTCACGTCATCGGCGCTCAGCATGTCCTCTACTATGTGACTGTGGAGAGTGAAAGTCTGTGTTGAGAGTCTGTTATCAGAAGACACAATGGCTCTGCATTAAAACCTAGTGAGCTGTGTACCTAGACAACACTTTAAGGCATCAAAGCAACCTTTTAAGACACCTTCATGGAATAGGCAATCCCAAAATGCACTTATGATGTTCCATTGAATTTAGGATGCTGCCTATGTAGACAGCTAGGGAGCTCACTAGGTTTTGGAACAGAGGTAACGTCAAAGTCACATTAAAAACCACTCACCCATCATGGTGGTGGTGATGATGATGATGATGGTGGTGATGATGATGGTGATGCTGAGGGCCGATGAAACGCCTGCAGTTGAAGAGCTCATTGCCCATAGCCTCCGTCAGGAAGTCTGCTGGTCGAGGCATGCAGGGCGGCTCCTGGGAAACAGACGCTCCGTGTGAGGAGCCCATCTCTGTGCCACCCTGCTGTGGTTGCTGGGGGTTCTGGGATTGGGAATCAGCCTGCTCTCCCGACGTTCCCTCCAGGCACACGGATGAAGAAGAGCAAGGCTCGAGGATCCTAAGGGAAGAAGGCGAGGCTACAATGGCAGCGGCTGCCTCTGGGGTGAAAGGAATGGATTTGGTTTTGGAAAGTCCGGGAGCAGAGGCGATGGAGCCGGGAATGCCGGGCGGAATTCCGGGTCGCTCCGGAGGACCTTGGACCTCTCCGAGCGCTTCACCAGCTTTGCGTTTGCGCAGCTCTGACGTAGACGGCTCTCTGGAGTCTCTGGTGTCTTTCTGCGGGCTGCCCTCGGAGACGACAGCGGGCCTGTCGTCTTCATCGTCCTCGTCATCGTCTTCATCATCCTCGTCATCGTCCTCCTCTTCTTCTTCCTCCTCCTCTTCCTCCTCCTTCAAGGCCTCGCTGTCAGCCATGTCGTCGGAGTGCAGCTCGCTGCCCGGGCTGCCTGCTGATTGGCTGGCTCGGCTGGATCCAGCCTCATTGCTGGACGCCTCGCTGCGGCCGCTGCTGCTGCCCTCCTCTCCGCTGTTGGCCGTCTCATCAGAGCTGCCCTGCAGAGACTCCTGTGGAACGGCAAAAAACACCTAATAAGCTGAAGCTGAATGACATGGTTTCAAATCATCTTTTGGAAAATGTGTCACCTCCGTGTCCGACAGCCTCTGCTGCCCTCGTTTTCCACTGCTCATGATCGGCTCATCCATCTCCATGTCACTTCCTCCACTGTGATGCGTGTCGCTGTTGTCACTGCTCTCTGGGCTTCCTGCAGGAGAACCTGGGGGGAAAATAAAATATAACTGACATTTTAACCAAAAAGATGCTACACTGAGATCCTGAGTACATAAATAAAATCTTTCAACAGAAACTCTCAATTGCACTTAGAAATATTTCACATTTTAGTAGTAAAATAATTTGTGCACTCCATTTCATGTTGACTTTAATTGCCATTTTTTACTTTTCCTGGATTCTGACCTAAATTTAATACAATAATTCTAATACAGAATACATTTTAAAAAAAGCATATATCTACACCAACTTCTAACTGAGAAATCTCGATTTTAAATCTTTGGCATGCACATCAAAAAGCAGATGTCAAACACAACACACCTTTCTTGTTGCCCATGGGAATGTTGGTGTTGAGCAGGGAGGCGAAAGAGCTCTGTTTGGACAGCTGAGTTTTGGCTGCCAGAGCGTTATTCCACAAGGCCTTGATCAACATGGACGCCAAATACAGTGTCTACACAAGCAGAGAAACAACTCAACAACCACATACTGGATAGCCAGGTAAGTTTTAGTCTGTTTCAAAGCATGTTAGTAAGAGCAGGCATCTAGTTTTGTATATGACTAAACTGGCTGTGTGTAACTTTAATATGTGTGGATGTGGTATGAGAGCGTGTGTTACCTGTTCGGTGTGTGCGCTGGGGTGTAACCCTGACACCAGACTGAGCACGTGTCGCAGAGGAACAGGGTCCAGGTTCTTTATGAGCGAGGGGAACAGGTCATGGATGTAGCGACTGCAGTGTTTCAGCTAAAGACAGAGACAGAGTGGAAAGAAAATTACTAAATTTAAAAATTAGTTTCTGATGCAGTACATAGCATGCAGCGTTGTTTTAGATTTATTTATATAACACTATTATAGTATTTATTCATATTTTAAATGAGCTTTTATTTTTATATTTTTGGTTTTCATGATACTTTAGTTTAAGTTGTAGTAATGTTATGTGCTTTTGTCATTTTAATTAGTTTTGTTTTTAAAATATTTCTATTCAGCTTTCATTTATTTATTTTATTTCAGGTTTATATTCAGTAATAATTATATTCTGTAATTTTCTTTTTTTTTTCATTTCAGTAAGTTGGCAAGGCAGCATTTATTTTTGGCAAGTTATATATATATTTTTAATAGTTATATTTTATAAATTGTTTTATTTGACATTTTATTTCAGCTTTACTTCCAATTAACAAAAAAACATTTTTAATTGTTTCGGTTAACAACAACAACAACACTGTTACATTGTATGCAATGAGAAAGATTTTTCTCATTGCATATATATATATATATATATATATATACAGGTGCATCTCAATAAATTAGAATGTCGTGGATGTAATTTTGAAATAATAGTAAATGACTTCCAAAACACTAAATTGTATAAAAAGCAAAATAACCATTTTTATTTCAGATGTGAATCAAAATGTTTCTTGTTGCGTACAATGCAGGTGTTGTTATTGTTAACTAAAACTATCCCACTGCATTGTAGGATAAAGTGTTACTTACATTGTGCTCTAATAGTTTACTGCACATTTTTACAAATGTATTCTATGCAGAAAATGTGCACAATATATAAAATGGTGTGGTCTAAATAGTGTGTGTGTGTGTGTGTGTGTGTGTGTGTACCTGAGCGGCGGCCCATATGCAGTCCACATGTTGAGTGCTCAGCCTGCCCTCGGCTGCCAGGAAGTTCAGGATCACTTGGCACTGTTTAATGATCTACAGCACAAACAACACAAGCACAATCAGAAATAATACACCTTTAGTCAGCGCTTGGACAGAACGAAACGTCACATCACCTGCACACTTTTGAAACGTACCTGCGCTAGTTTCTGTATCTATGAAAGTCTACTGGACTCACCTCAATGTGCAAATTTGGTCCAAATATGTGCTCCACAACATTGTTGTTGATGAGCCAGTCGGCGAGTTCCTTTGCTATCGACCTGAGAGAGGAAAGAAAGATGTCAATACACATCTAGCTGGACTGAACTACTAATAGCAGTGGACTCGTAACACTCACGTCTCAGTGTCAGACACCAGGGACTCGTTATTACAAACGTCATTGAAGGTGTGCAGCTGATTCTACAGAAACACAAGCACAGATCATTCAACACCGGCTGGAGACGATGGCAGAGAGTTTTTGTGTTTGTGTCTCTCGTACCGTGATCTGGCTCAGGCCGGCCAGTCTCATGGTGAGCGTTGGACTCATGAAGTATTTGAAGGCCAGATCCAAGCTCTCTCTGTCAAAACACAGCGCGCTGTCCAGCGGCTCCTTCACCGTGCTCCACATCAGATCGGCCATGTTACGCGCCGCGCTCTGACGCAGCTCCTGATCCGACAACTTACACAGATACCTAGAGACAGAGGGAGATTCATATTAAACCAGATGATTCAGATGAGTCGCATAAAAGCAATTGAGCACAAATATTCATCTGCCTAGAAAAACAGTCAGATTTTTATTCTTTTTTTTTTCCAAACTGAGGGACTAGTTGAAAATATTTTCTAATCAACTTCTAATTAACTTGTATTAAACCCGAAACATTCATTTAAGGACCTGTATCAAAAACTCCTTTTGTATTTATAAAGGATATATCAGGCCCCATGAAAAGCGGTTAACATACAAAAGCTAGTAAAAGTGTAAAAGAGCGTTTCAGTGGCTTAATCATTACGTTTACTAAACTATTTTGCATCATATGTCATCATTTTTTTCTAACAAAAGTGTGTTTGAATTTACAGGGTTACATTTAAGCTGTATATTGTAGTGTGTTACATATTAGCAGTATGATTTCTAGTTTGTTGCAAGTTTTCCTTTTTTAAAGGTAAGAAAACATAACATTATTAAAACATTAATAAAAAAAATTATATATCTTTATTATATAATGCGTAATAAATGATATATATACGTATGCAGATCTGCATAACATAACAAGTAATTCTGATTCTAGATTAACATTAATATGATATGTGGATTTGTATATAATATAACAATATTACAAAACATAATACAATATAACAAAAGTCATTTAGAAGTTGTATTATTTTTCTATGTGGATAAATATTCATATGTTCGACAGATTATGTATATGTATGTATATATATATATATATATGTGTGTGTGTGTGTGTGTGTGTGTATATATATATATATATATATATATATATAATATAGTATTTTAATATAATAGTCAATTTGAGGTGGGATACATGTTTACAATATAATAAAATATAATATAATACAAAAGAAAATCAGCAAAAATCTCAGAAAACCTTTCCCTGTGAATAAACGAATACACTCTCTCTCTGTGAGTCTCTGTGTGCTGCTCTAATCCTGTCTGGCTCGAGTCACATGACCAGCACTCTCTCAGCTCCCCTGCCAGCCGTCTGGCTCCCCCCAAGGTCATGTGAGGAGAGCCATGGCGACTGTTGCTATGGTGAGGGATGCTCTTCCTAGCAACTCAGCAGAGAGCAGATTCTTGGCGGCAGAGCTCTTTCTAAGAGTAGCCTCTTTTATAGTCTCGTTTATATCTCTCAGTCAATCAGTTAGGATCGATTAGATGAAACAGATATTCCTGCGCACTTGCACTTGGCAATTAATGATTTCGAACCTTTAGGTCTAGTTTAGAAAGGTGTTCTTACCTGATAACATAAGTGCGAAACGGGATGATGTGCTGCATCACAGCGGGAATGTGCAACCATATTCTGATCTGTACACACACACAAAAAAAAACTCTGATTGGTTACAGATCTAACAAGTCAGACTCTGGTTTGACTGAGGTTTGTTTGACTGTGTGGACTCACATTAGAGACGATGGTGATGAAGGCATGTGCGATGGGGAAGGGGAGAGTATCAGGAGCGCCGAACTCAAAGCAGTCCTTCATCAGAGAGAGGCCGTGCTTCCCGCAGAACATACACACATATCGCAGCAGGTGCAGAGGGACCTCCACATCCTGAAACACACACACACACATCAGCCCATTAGCATGCAATACAATCACTTAAAACACACCCAAATCATTTTCCTAAATTATGCCCAAAGAAAACACTGCCTTTATCTCAACAGCATTATTGTGTGGTCACATGACTCAGCGCTGGATGCTTTTACAGGACAGAAACAAACTTTAAAATGAGTTTAATCAAAATAAACTTCAGAAGATCTCTCTCCGGCCAATCATGAGTAATAATAATAATAAAATAACATGATAATATAATTATCACAATAATATACTTATAAAACATGTTTGAATTGTTGTATATAATCATCACAACAATATAATATATAATATGAATATAAGATTACATTACAAAACTAACATATTATGTCTATAAAACATTATATATAGTAAACATGAGGTATGAAAACCATCCATGACCTAGTACTTATTAAAATCATAACAAAGATTGATAATAAAATATAAACAGATATTTGTCATATAATTACCAGAAAAATAGCCTTATAAAGTAATATATTAAGCTGTTGTAATAATATAATAATCATCACAACAATATAATATAATATAGTCTGTGTCATGTATGCTATATGTTGTGTGCAAAAATATGCATTTATTAAATATTACATGTTATGTTACTTTCTCACACAGGACACACCTAGCTGTGATCTCAGAGTCAGTTAAATCTAGTCCTGCTCCATCCACTCAGCATCTATTGTGGTTATGAATTATCTCTAAACGGTGTAATCAAGCCCATCATAATGAGTGTGTGTGTGAGAGAGACTTACATTCATATCACAGAAAGAGCCGAGGATATTGCTCTCTTGTGCTGAGATATCCTGAGGACAAAAACAACAAACGGATATTAAAAAGCAACCCAAATAAAACCATACTCAACTTTTCAACAGAAACCAGCTTCTATTTTTGTCTTGAGAATTTGCTCTGGTTATTCAGCTCATCCAAATCATTTAGCAGTAATAAAGCACTAACTGGAAGAGTATATAATGCTTATGTTGTCCAAAAGATATACTAGATAAACAGATATACAGATAAACTAGAAACGCACACAAGTACTCAGTACTGACCACAATGACTGATCAGGAAAACCACTCTAATGGATTTTACATGCACTTGAAAAGTTTGATTTAGGTGATTTGTCTTTTTAAAATGTTGAGTCTATACGACTGTAGCTCAGCTTCGTTTGGCACATATATGCATAATTGCATTACAATTGGCCTTGACGTTGTGAGCTTGCTCTGAAAGACAAAAATGTTGCGTGATGTGTATTTAGTCTATCAAATATTCGATTACGCACGGTGTCGTGTACACTTGAGCAACAGTCTTTATCAGTCAGTCTGACTACGCATTAACCTTATTATAACTGCACACAGAAATTCAGTAACATCTACAGAAAGAGCATCAAAAAAGGAACAATTTTAAATTTTGGGATTGGTTATGGCATCATTTTTGGTGATACCTTCAGTAAAGCAACCTTGATGAGAATCAAATGTAATTAATAATTAATTAATTAATTAATTATTAAATTATTATTATTATAAATTAATCAAATGTGATTCATTTCGAAGCTGGTTATTTTGGATAATGGCTTAAAATGTATATGCATGAAAAGAAAATTCACTATTTCGTAAATGCGTGAACTATTAATGCATGAATGCGTTTCATTTTAACTTTATTTTTGACCTTGTAAGATATTATAACTGAATCTATGAGTAAAAGGACACATTTAGGTGACGTATGGTGACTTCTCCAAGCATTTAGTCTGCTTCAACCCTCCACAACTAAGTGCAAGCTTGAGTGCAATGCCCACATTTCAAAATCCAATCCATAAAATAAAAAAAAACACCTTGGAAGACAGTCTGTTGAAAACTATTGCCTATACGAGCATGAATTACCTCTATAGTGGGGTGTGTGTTGTGTTTGTAGGCTGTGTACAGAGGGAACTGGATCTGAAAGATCTTGGCAGCACACAGCAGCAGTTTCTCCTGGTCTTCTGTGCTCCAGGATGCAAACGGGTCCAGGCCGCTGTCGTTCCCGCTCTCGCCCGCCGTGGGTTCACTGAGCTTGGGCTGGGGATCCGGTTTGACCCCCTCATTTTGGTTCTTGTGCTGATCTCCGTCCTCCACTCCACCGTCCTCTTCAGCCGAGTCCCGTTCCACATTCAGCGGCTCGTCCTCACTGGGCGATGGCTGTGGCTGGGCGGAGCCCCATTCGGACTCCGCCCCCTCTGTCCTAGTGTTGCCATTGCCACTGTGTAGACGGTCCCTAAGGTTGGTTACTTGGACAATGACCAAGTTAATGAGGGCATAAACCAGTTGGCTGAACACCTCGAGGTGTTTGTATTCCTTGAAACAGCACAGACACTGCCTGCAGATGAACACGGAAAGAATCGGTCGTCAGCCCATCATTTACAAATTAAATTATTATTATTATAAATTAATCAAATGTGATCCATTTCGAAGCTGGTTATTTTGGATAATGGCTTAAAATTTATATGCATGAAAAGAAAATTCACTCTATTTCGTAAATGCGTGAACTATTAATGCATGAATGCGTTTCATTTTAACTTTATTTTTGACCTTGTAAGATATTATAACTGAATCTATGAGTAAAAGGACACATTTAGGTGACGTATGGTGACTTCTCCAAGCATTTAGTCTGCTTCAACCCTCCACAACTAAGTGCAAGCTTGAGTGCAATGCCCACATTTCAAAATCCAATCCATAAAATAAAAAAAAACACCTTGGAAGACAGTCTGTTGAAAACTATTGCCTATACGAGCATGAATTACCTCTATAGTGGGGTGTGTGTTGTGTTTGTAGGCTGTGTACAGAGGGAACTGGATCTGAAAGATCTTGGCAGCACACAGCAGCAGTTTCTCCTGGTCTTCTGTGCTCCAGGATGCAAACGGGTCCAGGCCGCTGTCGTTCCCGCTCTCGCCCGCCGTGGGTTCACTGAGCTTGGGCTGGGGATCCGGTTTGACCCCCTCATTTTGGTTCTTGTGCTGATCTCCGTCCTCCACTCCACCGTCCTCTTCAGCCGAGTCCCGTTCCACATTCAGCGGCTCGTCCTCACTGGGCGATGGCTGTGGCTGGGCGGAGCCCCATTCGGACTCCGCCCCCTCTGTCCTAGTGTTGCCATTGCCACTGTGTAGACGGTCCCTAAGGTTGGTTACTTGGACAATGACCAAGTTAATGAGGGCATAAACCAGTTGGCTGAACACCTCGAGGTGTTTGTATTCCTTGAAACAGCACAGACACTGCCTGCAGATGAACACAGAGAGAATCGGCCATCAGCCCATCATTCGTAAGGTTCTAGCTTCTTATGTGTTTGTTTATTAAATATTTTGGCTAATTTAATTGTGCTTTCAGCTACCAAGGAGATTTTAGTACATTTCGGTTCTGTTGAACAAATTTAACAGTATTTCAATAAATTCCCAAACAACAGGTCAAACAACACAGATCATAAATTAATCCATGAAAAACAGCCATGGTGACAAAGAAAACAACAACATGATGCAGGATGGAGTAGAAAACATATGAATGAATGAATGAATCAGCAAATGAATCAGTGAGTGAATGAGTATGCGAGTGAACAAGAGAATGAGCGAGTCAGTGAGCAAATCAGTGAGTGAATGAGAATGAATGAATGAGCGAATCAGTGAGTGATTGAGAATGAATGAATGAATCAGTGAGTGAATGACTATGAATAAATGAGTCAGTCAGTGAATGAGAATAAATTATTAAATAAAGACAGTGAGTGAGTGGACAAGGGAACCAGTGAATGAATCTGCAAGCGATGAATGAGTGAATGAATGTTTGAAAGATTGCAGTGAGTGAATGAACAAATAACATTGAGTTATAGGTTAGGAATAAACATGCGATTGAGTGAGAAGTCAACTGAATAAATGAGCAATTGAGAAGTGAACAAATGAACAAACAAACCAACCAATTAAGGAATGAATGAGTAACCGAATGTTTGAGAGAGTTAATGAAGTGAATATGTGAATGACTGAGTGCTGACCTCTGTGTCCATGTGCTGATGTAAGTGAAGACTCTTAAGGCATGCTCCTTCTTCAGCTGCAGGCCGTCTGAGCTGTCTGCATCCGAGACTGACACACACAAACAGAGCAAGAAAGCAGTTACTGAAGTGGCTACAGGCTTCTGGAGCTGTCTGGGATCAGATCACTGTTAAAGACACACAGCAAACACATGCACAAATGCTGAAAGACGACTTACACACAAAGGTTTAATACTTTGTCAGATTTTATTTAATTTTTTTAATTAAAGGGGTCATATGATGCGATTTCAATTTTTCCTTTCTCTTTGAAGTGTTACAAGCTCTTGGTGCATAAAGAAGATCTGTAAAGTTGCAAAGACTAAAGTCTCAAACGAGTAGCCTACAATGGGTCTGTGCTCAAAGGCTGTTCTACAAAGTGGGGCAGTTCCAACTTTGCAAGGACAGTCTGGCGCTTCTGAAGCACAGCCTGTAAGTACATTTTTTATATTTAAAGAATTTGCCACTGATGATTTAAACGCTTTTCAGAACTATGAGCTTTGTAAAAATCGACATGTTTCAGAAAGGCGGGGCATAGAGGAGAAACAATAATGTACAGTATGTGGAAAATAATGTGTTTTTTGAACCTTAAACCGCATAAACACGTTGCATTACACCAAATACACAAAATAATGATCTTTTTAGCAATGTAATATGACCCCCTTTAATAAAGAGCAATTGTGACGCAGCACAAAAAAAAAATCTGTAAAACAACTCAAACTCACGGTACATCAAATGAAAACTGGCAGAGAACAGTCAAGACAGAACGTCCTGTCCAAGACAGCATTCTCACGCTGTAAAAAATGAGTGTAATTTTAATGATAAAAGACATCCATGAAAACCTGTTAACTGGTTAACGTTATACACTGAAAAACTATAATTACTAATGAGATGGTTTTTCATTGAAATAATTATTTTTCTTCTTAGTTTTTCACATCAGTGAGACGTACATCAGGGTTTTGGGTTTCATCTTATCTTATTTCATCTCATTATGTTAAATAAATAATTATTGCATTATTTTAGCATCATGTGTGTTAACATGATTGTGTTTTGTTTGTGACACTGTGCACCTTCTATATATTAGCATTTACTTCAGCTTGAGGAGAAGCTACTTGTGATGAACTTTGATTCGACATGTGACTTTCTCTGTACCACTGGTGTTTTTAAGGAGGTTGTCAGTATATTATAAAGGTAAAACAGATTTTAGTCCTTTGCTATATTATCATTATTTCAGGTAATGAAAAACAATTTTACTGCAAATTTAATTTCCATCTGTAAAACTTAAAATGTTGCGATTGTATGTCACTGTAAAGCTAAGGCAACCTTTTTTACCGTACATTTCTCTGATTTTTTCACAGTAACACTAGATGTGGAAATCACAGATTTTATATCAAGCATGATCATTACAGATGATCACATGACATTCTGCATTTGCATGACTTTAAAATCAATTTAGATGCCCTATCCCAACCAACTACACACACACACACAGAGAGCACAATTAACGGTTTCCACGGTGACGAGGGAGTTGCTGGACTCGGGAATGCTACCTTAGGGTTGTAAAGTTCACTCGAGCAGCTGGTTAGCCTTGACCTACATGAGATTTTTGTTCTTTCTTTCTTTAAAACGGCTTTCCTGTCTTTTTTTCCTCTGCCGTTTCCACACAGGTCTACAGTAACAATCCAGGGCATTGTGTGCGCAAGGACTGAGAAACAGTTTGACGGCGCTGTGATATGAGGATCTGTTATCAAAGCTGAAAACCACAAAAGCACCAAAAATCCCTCAAAGTCTCACGGCACAGAAAAAAAAAAAGTAAAACTGCACACACACAAACTGACTGAATTACAGTATTTGGTTCTTTCCAAGAGAAAAACAGTCTGAACTTAATGACTTATAGGACTAATTCAACCAAAATGGACATTCATAAATGCCATAATTTACTTGCCCTCATGTTGTTCCAAACCTGCATGACTTTATTTCTCCTGCGGAACAGAAAAGTAGATATTTTGAAGAATGTTCAACGCTGCTCTTTTTTCATATTGTACTCCGAAAATGACAAAAAGCACTATAAAAGTAGTCTGTACAACTTATTTACAATTACAATTTACAAGTTATTTACAACATGTTCTGAGAGAATTTGCAAGGCATATGGGTTTGGAGCATCATGAGGATGAGTAAATGATGACAAAGATCACTTTTATAGAAGAACTTTCAAAATCTAGTCAAAATGCCCTGTGATTAGGGCTGGGCGATATAGCTAAAAAATTTATCAACGATATAATGTTTCATATCGTTCGGTATCGATAATTATTGAAATTTTTTATAACCTTTTTTAAAACAAAGAGCAACAGAAATTTTTTTTTAATTTAACCACTGTATTTTTAAATTAACCCAATTTGTTGGGACAAACAACAAATATTTTTTGTTTTAACAATCAAACACAAAATAAAAATTAAACAAATATCTAATGTTTTATATGCAGATTAAATAGGTCTTTATTGTATATGTCTAATTGTCTAACATTGCAAATGTTTATTTTAAATTCGACTAATATTCATTCTTTATTCACAATCTCATCACAGGCAGGCACAGCACTCAATTCAGCATTTGTTTGTGTTTGTGTGTGCTGTCTGCGTCACTCATAGCACGTGCCTATATCGTGCACTAGGGCTGGGCAAAAAATCGAATGCGATTTTCATGCGAATCTCGTCAGTAAAGCCGCTTCTGCAGATTAGTAGTAAATCTCCAGCACGTGCTTTTAGATGGAGAGGCATTTACTACACAGAGCCAACTACAACTACTACTACACATCGGCAATGAATCGCCTGCGATTTTGAACGCGATTTTGGGTAGCTTGTCAGTGATCTACGGCTCTGTGTAGTAAATGCTGCTCCATCTGAAAGCACAT